CTTATATTGTTGGATTTAGTAATTTATAATAACACACTGCACAAAGAAATTTTAGGATACCTGGAGTTTAAAACATTTTAACAAAAACGTTGTTCGTGGGCGTCCGCAGAAATGTTTCCTGGGGGGGGAGGGGAGGCAAAGTAGTGTGAAATTGTGAATTGAATGAAAAAATTCACAAACATATGGTGAATGAGTAAAGAAAGAATTATGTTTCTCTTTTTTAAGGTGTGGGCAAAGGCCTCCTCTTGGAAAAAAAAAATCTTTAAGTCTCATTGTGAATTAATTACCTGCGGTTTAATTATCAAAAAACAAATTATCCTGTTAGACAATTCATATCTAAAACTAAAACACAAACGCTTACCACGGAACGATACCGAAGTTTTCTACAAATCATTAATTATACGATATGCATATCATTTAAATAATGAAATTGATCACACATAATTTCGACGAAAGATAGGACACCATTTAAACCACTAAAAGTTGGGTCCTTTCATCATAATTATTTTATTATGACAGAAAGGAAATGAGTGTTGGTTGCGTCAAATTGATTAGCCTCCTGGGAAGAACGACAGGTGTTAATCTGACTTTTGTTTTATCTCTAGGATGGCAAAATAAGAAACGACATTTAAATGGAAGAGTAGATAAAGAAACGATTTCAGAAGTCATTAAGATATCGATGTTTTTTTACACCTTAGTGAACGTTATCGTATTTTTTTTATTTTATTTTTTTGTCGTTCAAATAGAAGGTGACGCCATTAGTGTTTGGCGAATAAGCGAAAAGATCCAAGGTTTTGTTTGTTTGTTTTTGAATTTCCCGCAAAGCTACACGAGGGCTATCTGCGCTAGCCGTCTCTAATTTAGCAGTGTAAGACTAGAGGGAAGGCAGCTAGTCATCACCACCCACCGCCAACTCTTTTACCAACGAATAGTGGGATTGACCGTCACGTTATAACGCCCCCACGGCTGAAAGGGTGAGCATGTTTGGTGTGATGGGGATTCGAAACCGCGACCCTCAGATTGCGAGTCGAGCGCCTCAACCACCTCGCCATGCTGGACCTCTGGTTTATTAATTTTATTTCATGTTTTGTTGTAGGTGAGAGAGGATTAAGGCTGAATAAGAAGATATATATATATATATATATCATGATAAATAAATACGAAAATTTCAGGAACCGAATAGATAATAAAACTATAACAAAACCACATTGTAATGTGATAGGTTTTATAATTCATTTTAACCACCAAACTCCAATAAATTCATTTTATGCTCACCTGTATTTTAATTATCCGTTATAAAAATTGATCAACTGAATAGACTGATAAAATAACTGGATTTATAGAGGGCATTTCTAAAAACTTAAATGGAACTTGAAAAATAAAAAACGTGTTTGATTAGACTGTTAAAAAGCTGGACTTACAGAGGGCCTTTTTAATAACTCAGATCAAATTTAAAAAATAGCATAGTGTTTTTGACTAGCCTGATAAAAAACTGGACCTATTAAGGTCATTTCTAAAACCGAAATGAAACTTGAAAAATAAAAGAGCGTGTTTGACTAGACTGATGCAAAATTAGGCCTATAGGTGATTTTTCTAAAAAAATTGAGATCAATGCTTGAAAAATAAGATGTTATAAGATGTAACAGAATGCACACCAGAGTCTGATAAAGCTTTAATGTGTTTCTATATGATAATTTCTATATCGGTTTTAATTTGTTTGTAAACCTTTACCTGAATGTTTTAAAATCAAACCTTAGTTCTTTACATAGAGATGTAATATAGTTTTTTAAACAAATAAAAACAAGGCCACGTGAGTGATGACTTATCTAGTAATAAATAATATAAATACCCAATAACGTCTTCCTTACCCATAACATGTTCATTGTAGTTTGTAGATCGTAAATTTTATAAAGTATGTTATGCGCTTATGATATGTGTCTTTAACCCTACTTTACCACTTTTTAAACACGGTTATATTTAAGCTCTTTCTTACTTCATTTAAATAAAATTTTATTGAGAAATTTACTAATTACTTGTTTATTACTTTTCCGATTAATTTTAAGACCTTCCCGAAATTTAGTTCTTTGGTTCATTAATTTTTTGTGTGTTTGTAGTTAAGAACAAAGCTACACAATGAGCTATTTGTGCTGGGCCCACTACGGGTATCGAAACCCGTGGTTCATTTGATTAAATGTCTTTAATCTTGAAAAGTAGTTAACCAAGTTAGTTTCGATAATTTTATATTTACTTATTTTTTCTTTAAAGCAAGGTGTTTTACTGTATAATATAATTGTAAAATACATTATTAAATAATATGTGTACACTTTAAATTACTAAGTATTTTTCTTTTTTTTCTTCTGTTGTTAATAATGGTAGAAGAATTTTGTTGAACGATGAAAGAATAAAACCAAAACCGTGGGTCCAATGTAAAGGCCTAATACTGTTGCCATAGTACTATTCGTTTCATCGACACTAGGTGGAAACACATGTCGGAACTTTGAGTTTTAAGTAATGAACGTAATATTATATAATAATTTATATTTCACTCCCTTATTATGAGATACATAAATTTCTGAGTATAACAATGCGAACCGTTTTTCTAATGTATTATGACATGGGACAACTCAAATAAAGGTTAACGATATTAATAATTAACACTGTACCGTGACGTCATATCGATAGCACACCCTTTTATAATTACATGCATGTTATTAAAACGTAAAGCACTCTCGAAACAGTGAAATGTAAAACGATTACTTGTTAAGGACGTATAATAATGTTGCTGTTATGTTAAACTTATATTAAAGTTTTTCTTCATTCCCCATTCAAGCCGTCTCCAAGCATTATTAGTCTCAAAGTGGGTTCCTCGTTATCGAAAGTCATCTTTTATG